GGCTGCCTGCCTGACCTCCCCCTTCTTCTTTTTTTAAAACTGGGGATGCAAATGTTAATGTCCTAGTCTACATTTTGCAACAGGTGTTTTGAATTTGAATTTTATCTCTTTCCTGCCAGTTCAGCCCTGGGGTGCCCCAGAAGGGAGTTTAAATAGTATAAAAGATTAGAGAGCCCAACAGATTGTCACTAACAACTCCTGGGGGAAAGGGCGAGGGGACGGTTGGCAATCAAGGGTGGTATGGGACTCACTGCTACTGTAGTGGGGAAAAGTTGCTATCCCCCCTTGACCCTGCCCTGTGACTGACCCTGCTAAGCAGCTCCTCGCCCTGTGCGCATGCTCCAAGCTGGACAGCTCCTGAGAGGGAAATTTAAAAACGGTTTGGAGTGTGATACTGCAGCCAAATTGCAAAGAGAGATCCCTTTAGACCAGAGAAGCGCAGCAGCCGCCGATCTTACTCCAGGTACCACCCTGCAAGGTTTGCTTTGCATGAAGCTGTGCGATTAGCAAGTTTCATTTTCCTGTAAGCACATAAAGATGTACTCTACAAGCTCCTGTTGAGAACTATGTGTAGATAATGTTTAAATCTTGTTTGATGCATGGAGGTTGCAATTTTTTGTGAAAATTTGGGGCATTCTTATAGGCACAGATCATTTCTTTATTTTTGCCTCCCTCGACCTTAGTTGTGCTTTTAGAACAAATAGTGTGGCAGACTGTTACTCTTTAGGGCAAGTTGGAGGACTGACCTTTCCTTCCCTTTCTGCTGAAATGGTCACATTCACTGCCACAGCTGTTTATACTGTAGTATGTTTTTAAGTGCTGCAGTCATCCAGATTTTTAAAAAACCTTATGTTTTCACATCAAGTCTAGCAGACTTTTTTATGGAAATTCTTAGATGTACTTAAAGTATTAGCCATTGTCGTTTAAAATGTCATTTACTTTTCCTCCGTTTTAAATGGGCAGGTCAGATCATTATATTAAGTATTTGAAAACTGACACACAACTATTTTCCTGGTGTGGTTGTTATTCAGTTCACACAACTGAAGTGCCTGTAATGGAGTCATTTGAACCCTTCCATTTATTACATCAATTATATCATCTGAATTACATTTTCCTTTGCATGTGTAAAATGTATAGTCATTTTATAGCTTAAGTAAAACATTGCTCTTAAAAATTATAGGAAACATAACAACAATAATTGTATCTTACATTCCAGGTATTTTAATTTCGATTTTTTTTCATTGTTCTCTATACTGCTGAAATGCTGGATAGCTACTTCATACCTATATGAGTTTGTTGCTGTTGTTGTTTCCCTCAAAGGAGATGATAGAAAGTGACATTACATCCAGGATGTCAGGAATCATTAGAAATTCAGGGCAAAATCATCATCCCTTGCCACAGGAATACAGGTGAGGAGTTTAACCATTATACAGAGATGTGTCCTCATGGCCCATTAGATGATTTTAATAATTATGTACCTTTCTAAATAAAACCAAATATTCCAGAAATCATATTTAACAAAGAAGCTAATTCCATTTCGATCTTGTCTTTAAAATGAATTTTCTCTTTGGTGACTGCAGCATACTATGTGTTGATTTAAAACCCTGGTTGTAAATGTTTTATAGTAAATCATAGTCAATGTTCAAAGTCTGGTGTGAACTTCTGGGTCATTTATGTTCCATATGATTTGCAACACCATCATATTTTTGTAGAACAGTGATGATTTGAAAGCCCCCTTTCATGCAGCATTTGGCTTGATAGGACACAGGAGAAACAGGAGTCATGCTCCTAGGAAGGTTTTAATTAAAATAAATATTTTTTTCGTTCCCAAATGCATTCATATGCCAAACTACTTACAGTATGATCAGAAACAAACTTATATTTGCTGTCAGCCTTTTGGGAGTAAACATTTATTTACCTACACAAACACAAACCCATTTAGAAATTTAAAAAACCCTTTTTTCTTAGAAGTCATGGGACAGTTATGCATGAATCACCATGCTTTGGGTTAAGTTAGGTTACATCTTGTCACATGAGGTGACGTTTTATGAACTATCTTATGGCTTGTGAATCAGTGCAGCAAAATGAAGAGGATTTGTTGTTGGTTTGTTTTTAAATGAGGAGTGGGCAACTCTAACCTCTCCCACCAGCGGTGGGTTTCAACATTTCCTTGGATAAAAGTGGGCAGTAGCCATGTGTGTGTTCTTCTTCTAGTCTCTCTCTCCATTCAAAATGCAAACATTGTACTGCAGCTTCTTTCTGCGCAACAAGTGATTTGTTATACTGTATGAAGGCACTATGGAGAAAGGTTTGTGTAACCCTATTTTGCTGTTTATTAAAGCGCTGTTTGCTCTAGACATTTTGTTAGTTATGTAAATATTTGTAAAGAAATGTTTCAGTTGTTAAGGAAGGGTGTGGTGACCTGTGAATACTCATTTGTAATCAGTATTAGCTATCTGAAGCATATACCACTGTAACAAAGACTTTTCATGTGGAGGGAGTCTTCCTGGTAACAAACAAAAAAAAAAACCCACAACTTTTTGATGCAGGATATATTTTACTTTTAGTGCACAGTGCTAGAGTATTTTAGTTTACTTTGAGTCAAGCAGGTTTTAAAACTGCTTTTAGTTATTTAATATATATTCTTTGAACTAATAACTCCTCTATCCCTAAAGTTGTTTTTAAATAGTTTGTGATTAAAAAAAACACCTTATTTTCTAACTGAATTATGTGACCTCATTTACAAGTGGAAACTTCTGATAAAAAGGAATCAGATCTAAACTACACTGCTAATGTGGAACAGTATTTGTCCTACTTCATGAGAAAACACTTTGGATTATGTAAAGGAAAATCTTTTAGACTGAATGATTTTAAGAAAAGAATAGACCTGTCAAAGTCTATCAGCTCTGTTTACTCTCCTGCTGTCACCACAGACCAAGACTGGAACCCACAGTCCTGAGTTCTCCATGGGGGAGCAGCAGGGCTCCGCAGAATAGGAAATGGCCTCCAATTAGTGAGTGAGAGGCTGGAACTATGCTGAGAAGACCCTTCTGTCTCACTTAGATGCTCAATTGGACAGTTGCACTTTCAGGAGACCAGGTTTTCCAGGAAGAGGGTAAAGGAGGGAACAGTCAAAGGGAAAGAAACAGGAGAGAACACACCCAGGTGGTTAAAAGACTGTCAGATTTAAAACACAACAGGGTTTCTCTTGTTTAAAAAAAATCACTTTGAGGGATCTTGAGAGCTTCTGGACCAAATGCATATTTAAATGACAGTGGATGGATTGGTGATAGGGATGTGACAGTGGAACCATTAACAATTCACCAATAACCTTGGGCTCATTTGTTAAGGTGCATGGTTATACCCATCCCTCTTCCTCTTCCCTCTCCTCCCTCTGCTGCCTGAGCCACCTGACTGACCCCTAAGGTGTAACTGCTGAAAATTTCAATGGTTACATCTTTACTTTAATACACACATTTTAACATCCCTAATTGGAGATGTGGTATGAATTACTCAGTCTAGTCCAGATGTGGACAGACTTATATGATGTCTCCAGATACATATTTCTGCACAGATTTAAAAGTGCACCAGAAAACACCATTCTTGCTAAGTGCCATCTCCTGCACTCCCAGTTCCTGCTTCTGTGATGTGGGTATTTACCTACTTTGCATAACAGGGTGCATTTCCAACTCCTCCATAGAAAGCATTGACTTTACCCCTGATGCCCCCTTAAAGGTAGCAGAGACACATGCTTCTATTGACTGCAGGCAACATTTCAGGGCATGATAAAGCTGTAGAGGAGCTTGCTGGGATTGGCATACGGTGACCAAGTCACTCTCAGTAATCCATTGTAAAGGTTACATTAATTTTTGTATAAATATTTTTCAAAACAGGTGATAAATTTATAATACATAGAGTATCTGTGCATGTTTCAGTACTACGCTAAGTAAATTATAGGTTCAAAGACTCCCCTGGATGGTGGAGGGCTCTAAAGCAAACCCTTGAGGAGCAAAGTTATTAAGTTCTGGAATGCTCTGAGAATATTCTTTTTGATAGAATTTTATAGGCACAGAGCTCGCACTGTACCTTCTGGTCTTATAGGGTCTACCATTTAGAGCTGTGTGCATGAAAAGTACCAGATGCTCTATGCCAGTGTTTCTTAAATTGTGTTCCGTGGTACACCAGTTTGCCGAGAGGCAGTTGGAGGTGTGCCATGGAGAACAACAGAATTCAAAATGGCTGCCCTTAAAGGAGCAGCTGACCTTTTTTTTCTCAATAACTTCCTCCCCGACCCTTTTCCCCCCCAATTTCTTTTTTTTCCCCTCAACAAAAAATCCTTAGTGTTCCTCATTTAAAAAAAAATTGTTTGGTGTTCCTCTGTCTTTAAAAGTTTAAGAAACCCTGCTCTATTCTATGGGCCCATAAAGCACAGCATAGAATCCAACTTGCAGTAAGAGTATAGCCACATAAGTGGGGGTCATTGCATAACTGGAACATCACATAACCATTGACCTTTTCAATGGGGCCATCTCCTTGGTTTGCAATGACATCAATGGAAATAAAGTCAGCAATAAATGAGGCCCATTTCACTCAGATCATTTGGCATCAATCAAGTGCTTAAAGTACACAACTGAAACTAATAAAGTAAAATAGAATGGCAACTTTGGAACTATTAAGGTCCAGTAGGGCGAATATTAAAGCAATGGTTTTCAAATTATGGGTAGCACCCCAGTACTGGGCGGTGGAATGTCAGGCACTGGGTCTCGTTGCTGAAGGGGGATCAGGTGACCAGTCGGGGAGCTAAGGCAGCTCCCTGCCTGTCCTGGCACTGCAGACTGTGCTGCACCCCAGAAGCTCCTAGGTGGGGGGAGGAAGAGCGCACAGGGCTCCACACACTGCCCCTGCCCTGAGCACTAACTCTGCATTCCCATTGGCTGGGAACCTACTGCTGGCTGCTTCAGGGGCACATCATGGCCTACAGTGCCAGGAGAGGCAGGAAGCTGCCTTAACCCCCCTACTGCATTGCTAACTGGGAGTCACTCAAGGTAAGTCCCTCCTGTCCCAGCCCTAACCCCTCCCCACAAAGCCAGAGCTTCCCCCTACATCCCACAGCTCCCATTTTCATACACATTTACACAGGGAAAGTACATCTTTGTTAAAGGTAGAACATCAACAAAATTTTTAAAAAATCACTGTTAAATATGCAACATTCTTGCTCTGGTTTGACTCTATGTTTAAAATATAGCTGCAGGATGGTGTTTTTGACCAATCAGTCACCTATTACTGGGTGGTGCATGTTCAAGGATGGTAACAATGATTATGTTGAGAATACTATGTTTGGACCACAAGCCTCTAGAATAAGAAGGGGATGCACGAGGAATTCATCTAGCCTAACCAGCATTTATGCAAATACAAGTTTAAAAGAGTCAAAGAAATGCACTTGTGTATACTGGTTTAAAGGTGTCCTAACTACAATAAAATGTCACTTTTCCAGCTTAAGGAGTCACATAACAAATAGTATAGAGAGCTGATTAGGTAAATCAACTGTATTGTCTCTGTAGTTTATCACTTTGTGTAAAGCAGTGGTTCCCAAACTTTTCGGCTTCATGCCCCCTTTTTGATTTTTGAGAAACCCTCATGCTTCCCTCCTCCCCCTCCCCCAACCCCAAATAGCAGCAAAACTTGAGGGGTGAAAAAAAGAAAAAAGGAACTGACCGGGTCCGAAAAACAAAAATAACAGCACAAATTGGGGAGGGTATTGCTGGAGGAGGAGGGAGGCTGGGTCACCTCATGCCCTCCTGGAATTTCTTCACATCCCCTCCAGGGGGGCATGCCCCCCAGTTTGGGAACCCATGGTGTAAAGGTTGTTGGACTTTCAGAGTAGTGTAGTATAACAGCATCCACACTTTCTCCTATTTCTGATTTATTTGATCAGCCTTGAACAATATTTTGAAGGACTTGCAATGTAGGTATAAAGTTACTATTTATATTAAATTAAAAATAAGGGTTTAAACAGGGTAGGACTTGCCCAAAAGGTGTTTAAATAGTCTCAAAGCACCGAATAGATGAGTAGAAATCATCCACTTTACTTGCATGGAGTACTGGGCAAAGTACATTCTCTAAATAAATAAATAAATATTTAGTGTTACAGGAGTATAAATACATACAATTATCCTAGGAGAATGAATCCACTAGATATCCTGGCTAAATTCCAACGGATGTAATTACATTCTTCCAACATAAACGCTCTCCCACAGATTCATCTGGCTAAGATATACCTCGGTGTCTGTCCTAAATGGTTAAGTAGTGTTGCTTTCTTCTGCCAGGCCCTGATTCAGCAAGAGATTTAGGCATATTTGTAGTCCCATTGAAACCAATGAGATGTAGAGTTATGTACATGCTTAAATAA